AATCTTACCTTGATTCTCTAATGGTCTACTAAAACAGCCTCCAGTCTTCTATCTTGCCTACCTCTTAGCCATCCTCTGTGCTATAAACTGAAATAATCTTTCTGAAACATACATGAAATCATGCTACTCTCTTGTTTAAAATGCATTAATATTTCTCAAACCTTTGGGGATACATTTACACTTCTTTGTTAGGGCTCCTGACAACATTACTTGTCCCAGCACACTTCTCGCAGTTTCTAAAACATGACAAGCTTCTCTCTGCTTTATTCACTCCAGTTTTCCTTCCAGGTTAATCGTGTCTCATTTCAGAAGAAGCCCAGCTCAGGCCAAATCTTCTCTAGGAAGCTCCCTCAGCCCTTGTGTGTGTTCCCATGGAGAGCAAGGGATGATATTTCAAGTGGTTTTGCACCCTCAGTGCTTGCCATATAGTGGGTGCACTATAAATTTGTAATGGATTGAATTACCATCTCCTCGCTCTACTTTATATGTTTCCTTGTAGCAACCAACTGACTCCCAAGGGTTAGGACTGAAAATGCCAAGTAAGAGAGTTACCTTTAAAAAACAAACAACAAAAACTATGAAAACAACAACAACAACAAAACAAAAACCTTACTTCTAAGAGTTATCTTGGAAAGCAAGGACAAGGCTGCTCTAAATGCTGGGTTGTGTGCTCGTAAAGGAACCCTGGACACGCAGTGGTTAAGTACTTGGTTGTTAATTTAAAGGTTGGCGGAGTGGTTCAAACCCACCAGCTGCCACCAACCATTCCATGGGCAAAGATAAGGTAATCAATCTAAGTCTGTAAAGATTTACAGCCTTAGAAATCCTATGGAGTGAATTCTACTCTGTCCTATAGGGTTACTATGAGCTACAGTGAACTTGATGGCAACAGATAATGTAAAAAGCACGTATGTATAATGGGTTTGTATTTTGTATTTTGTTAAACCATCTATTATTTATTTTCAGAAACTGTAACCATGGCAATGGTATCAGAATTCCTCAAGCAGGCCTGGTTTATTGACAATGAAGAGCAGGAATATGTTGTAAGTAAAGAGACAATAAAATAACTTAGTTGCAGTATTAAAATAGAAACTAATATTGAGTGAATGGACATTAATGTACTGCTTTCTCATCCATAGAAAACTGTGAAAGGATCTAAAGGTGGCCCTGGGTCAGCAGTGAGTCCCTATCCTAGCTTCAATCCATCCTCAGATGTTGCTGCCTTGCACAAAGCGATAATGGTTAAAGGTAATGGTAACAGTCCCCTCCTGGACATTTCACAATGGATATTGGAATGACTACTGGAAAACATTTATGTGTAACAGAAAGAATCTTTCTTTTGGAAGTTAAATAGTTTTTCTCTCAAAGATGTATTTCCTGTCTCAACACTTAAGGATATCCTTAAACCAAAATAAATAAATAAAAATATACTTACTGCCTTGGAGTCAGTCCTGACTCATAGCAAGTCCTCCTTGGGTTTCCTAGGTGACATCTCTATGGAAGGAGATTGCCCAATTTTCCTTCTGGGGAGTGGCTGGTGAGTTTGAACCGCCAGCCTTCTGGTTAGCAGTCAGATGCCTTAGGCACTGGTTGACAGAACTCCCTTTTTAGCAGAACCCCCAATGTTGAAATCAACACCTCTATTCACATTTAAGGTTTGAATTAAGGGCCAGGAACAATTGCCTCTTCCTTTCTCAGCCAAGCGAATAGAAAGATATTCTAATTAGTTCTCTGACATTTTATGCAGAAATAAGTTTTCTAGGATATAATTTATATTTTTTTGTTAAACATTTAATTTGGAGCATCTTTCAATGTCAATGTAGATTTTCCCTGGGAAATGTCATTCCCATAGCATAATTTCAAGAATAAGGATAGACCAGTCAGTCCCTGGAAAAGGACATCATACTTGGTAAAGTATAAGGTCAGTGAAAAAGAGGAACATCTTGAACAAGATGGGTTGACACAGTGCCTGCCACAATGGGTGCAACACAGCAATGATTGTAAGGATGGTGCAAGACTAAGCAATGTTTCATTCTGTAATACATAAGTTCACTATGAGTCCGGATCTGACTCAATGACATGTAATAACAACAACAATTTATTGAGACTAATTTATATTTAATTGATTATTATTTAAACGATAACCTGTAAAATGCTATGAAGCAACAAAAACTATTTTGAAAGAATGGTTAAAGGAATATGCAGTTAATTCTGATCTTGATAGACAGGAATAATTCATATATAATGAACTACTTTTGGCATACTTTACATTCAGAGACTGAACTTTCCATTTTTCTTTGAAAGAATGCATAATGCACTCATAGGTAAATAATCAGTGGAAAATTTATGATTGGAAATACTGCTCAGACAGAAGAATGAGTTAATAATGAATCTTTTTTTTTTTTTTTTTTTTTTTTTGTCTATTATTGATGATGGAGCAAATAGTTTTCAAAGTTACCTTTTCAGTAGGTGTCAACTCATAGCAATCTTATGTATAACAAAACAAAAGATTGCCTAGTCTTGAGCCATCTTCATTTTGTTTGAGTTCACTGTCATAGGCTCTGTTTATTTTGAGTGCCTTCCAGTCAAGGAGGCTCATCTTCCAATGCTATATTGGACAATATCTGCTGTGATCCACAAAGTTCTCATTGACTAATTTTTAGAAGTAGATCACTAAACCTCTCTTCCTAGGCTTAGTGTAGAAGCTCTACTGAACCCTGTCCCCTGGGGGTGACACTTGCTGGTATTTGAAATACCAGAGGCATAACTTCCAGTTTCTTAGCGGCATGCAAGCCACAACAACAACAACAAATTGATTGATGATCTTTGGCCTCTTATTTCCAGGTGTGGATGAAGCAACCATCATTGACATTTTAACTAAGAGAAACAATGCACAACGCCAGCAAATCAAAGCAGCATACCTCCAGGAAACAGGGAAGGTAAGTTATAGTGGTGAAGATAGATATGTCCTTTCAGTGATACTCATGCTTAAACATAGACCCTGAAACACAGTTACTTAGTCTTTGAACCTGTATTTTCCTATTATGCCCAAGGACATTTCAGTATTTATCCCCTTTGTTGCAAGTAAATTAATCCTAGTGATTATTACTAGATTGATTGTCTTGGTATAAGTTCTTTGACAATTTGGTGTTCTGTACCAGAGACAAGTCTTTAATTTAAACATAACAAACATCAAATTTACCTGGCAATAAGGAATATGTTCTGATTGATAGCTGTCTTTGGTTACTAAATTGGATTGTTCAATGTCTAGTATGAATGCAGAACATAATTCTACTTTAAATATAAGTTTTATATCTTTTGCACTATATATGGTTTATTGTTTTCTAAGCAGTATAATTAGAAGGCTATATAATGTCAATATCTAATTATATTACTTATTTGAGCCATACAAATATCAAATACTGGAAAAAGTTATTAGTACATAATTTTAGAAGTAGTCTTACAACAGTTTTCATTTGTATTAGTACCCACTGCCCTCGAGTCAATTCTGACTCATAGCAACACCCATTGGGTTTCCAAGGCTGTAAATCTTTAGAGAAGTAGATTGTCTCAACTTCCTCCCATGAAGCATCTGGTGGGTTTGAACCACCATCCTTCTTGTTAGCAGCAAAATGCCACCAGGGCTCCTTTGAATTTGTACATTGCCCACTACATTTCCAGCTTTGTGATTTGTCCCCTGTACAAAATATTGTGAATCTTTTCCTAAAAGAAGTTATCATTGCATTACATAAATTTCATTCTAATCATTCTAGATGTAAAAGATTAAAATTGAATTCCTAAATGTCCAATACAATTTTGTTTGTGAAGTAAAGGGGCTCTGAAAGATGGTTGGTTTTAGGTATCCGCAGGAAGATTATCACCTTAAGGTCAGGTAATACCACTAGAACATTACTTATTAGAAACCCTAATTTTAATTTATTTTGTATAGCCACTGGATGAAGTTCTGAGGAAAGCTCTCACAGGCCACCTCGAGGAAGTTGCTTTGGCTCTATTAAAAACTCCAGCACAGTTTGATGCTGATGAACTCCGTGGTGCCATGAAGGTAAGCCACTTGATTTAGGCAAAATTTATTTCCTCAAGTCTGTTTATGCCTACTGTTGTATCCCTAGCATATTGTACAGTATCTGTCAATCAGCACAAATTTAATAAATGAATGAATGAATGAATGAATGAATGAATTTTGGCACAAAGGACAGTGGTGCTGCCCACTTTCCTGCTCTGTCACTGTATCGGTCATACTCCTGTGTTTTCTGTATCTTTACCTAAAATGTTGGCGGTAAACTAATTTTGCTTTAAAGTAGCAGAATAGATAAAGTTTATTGTGATTATTAAATAGGATGGGTAAAATCTGCTAAATTTCAGACTCAGATAAATCTTGGGATATATAAGTCAGGTGACCCCTTTAAATGAAGATCTTCTTACATTTTTCTTTTCTTCTTTTTCAATTCAGGGCCTTGGAACTGATGAGGACACGCTGATTGAAATTTTGGCATCAAGAACTAATAAAGAAATCAGAGAAATTAACAGGGTGTACAGAGAGGGTAAGTAATGTCTAATAATCCAAGCCACTTAGTTGGAAAGGCAATCTGATATACTTTTCTTAAAATTGAATGTGGATGTTAATTATGGGTACTTTGGAAACTCTACACATTAAAATGTTTATTAATTTTTTGCTGGACACATATATATTGAATGTCCACACCTCTAAAAGACAACCTTCAAATTGTTAGGATGCTGACAAGGAAGAATATGTCTACCCTCATCAAGCTTGACTTTAAAAGAAAATTCCCTTCTGTAACAGAGTATGTGATATTATTCTAATGAAAGAAATCAAATCAGAACATTCAACTTAAAAAAATTGTAAAAAACACATTATTCTGAGGTGTATTTTATTTAAAAGAATCCTTTGATTTTATTTTGAAAAGAATATATAACAAATAAAATGTCCAAACAAAGTTCTCCATCTGTCTTTGAAAAAGTAAAGATCGAAGTGCGTGTAATTCTCTGATGGAAATTTTCACTTCACCATTGTGGACATAAACAATTCCCTTACTCATGGGGATGAAAGGTGAGCCATGCTCATATCATCTACATGAAACTTTTCACATTAGTGAGTCACTCAACAACAAAAGAGATAGTAGAAACTCTGCTGAGCCGCGCTTGGTCTTCCCCCATTTTTCTTCTCTATTTCCCATCAATCTTGGCTTTTACAGTCCCCCAAAACAATATGTGACACCATAGAATATCTTTCTGCCTGATGCTTATGTCAAGCACAGAGAAGACTACATGTTTTCAGAGTTGTTCAATAAATGAATCAAATACAGAAGCCATAAACCTATTTTCTGCAATTCTTATCTCATTATCAGTATTTATCTTAGATCTGTACATCAGTGATAATAATCATAAGGGGTTTTATTTTAATTTTTTTGTTTGAGACTGTTGCTTACAAAGCTAAATATCCACATTGCTCATTATACCCAACATAAATCCCAAAGGTAACTTATTAAATTTCCATGTTTTCTTGTCAATTGTGCATTCAGTATATATATATATATATATATATATATATATATATATATAATAGTAATATTTTGCACAAAGTAGGAGTGTTTAGAAAAGTAAAAATTTTAAATATATATACACATACATATAATATTAACCTTTATGTTATATGTGATATATTTATCATTTGAAAAATAATTTATGATGAAGGAAGTACTCCTTTTATTTTTTAAAATTTAAATAACTATTTCTGTTCATCTTATTTGTTGCTGTTGTTGTTATGTGCCATGGAGTCAGACCCAACTCATAGCAACCCTCCTTGGGTTTCTGAGGCAGTATCAGTCAGAAGTAGATTGCTCAACCTTCCTTCTGAGGAGTAGCTGGTGGATTTGAACTGCCAGCCTTCTGGTTAGCAGTCAAGTGCCTTAGGCACTATGCTACCAGAACTTATTTACTTACTTAAATTCTGGTCTATTGTTTTTCAGTATTAATTATTAAGTAATACATACTATGCAATTTATTCTTCTTATAAAATGATGCTGGGAGCTCTGTAACATAGTGCCTAAGGCACTTGACTGCTAACCAGAAGGCTGGCAGTTCAAATCCACCAGCTACTCTCAGAAGGAAGGCTGGGCAATCTACTTCCATAGTGATATTGCCTCAGAAACCCAAGGAGGGGTTGCTATGAGTCGGGTCTGACTCAACAGCACATAACAACAACAAAATGATGCTAGCTTTATGACTATAGGATTTCGTTCATAATATTATCTGCATTGCTTCCATTGCCCTTGTTGTTGTTGTTAGTTGTTGTTGAGTCAGTTCTGACTCAGGCCACCCCCTGGTGCAGAGCAGAACTGTTCTCCATAGAGTTTCCAAGACCATGAGCTTTCAGAAGCAGAACACTAGGCTTGTCTTCTGACATACCTCAGGATAGATTTGAATTGTCAACCTTTTGTGTGGTAGTTGAGCACTTAATCATTTGTTCCAGCCAGAAATTTCTTCCATTGCCTTACAGGAAATAATTTTGATGATCCAAAATTTCACCTGCTCTGATTGCTCTATTTTTATATAAAATAATGATAATATTTCAAAATGTGTTATGTAAATTACGTAACACAGAGACATTGCAATTTCTAAACTAATATAGAGATGTCAGGTATCATCATCATTATCATCTATTAGTAGTTTATTGCAAATATATTTTTGTGGTTTTCAGAACTGAAGAGAGATCTGGCCAAAGACATCATCTCAGACACATCTGGTGATTTTCAGAAGGCTTTGCTTTCTCTTGCCAAGGTACAAATCAAATACTATATATA